AGTTTTTTTTTTTTTTTTTTTGCTGTTTATATGCATACTGATTCATGTTTTGATATAAATATGTAAGTAGTTGAGATGATAGATTAAAATTATATTTTTTTTAACCAAGAAAAAAAGATGAATATATTACAGTTTAGTTAGTTAATTAGCCATGAGCATCTTTCCAAAAGAAAAAAATGTAAAATAATTGTTAAATTATAGTCTCGAAAGAGATTTATAACTGAATTTTTTTCTCTAATGTCCATTAGGATATATTTCATTTTAATTGTTTTAAATGTTGTCTGGCTTGTTAATGTAATGAGGGGTTGAGCTAAAAGGCTTTATTCAAATGATGATTGGCATATTAATGAAAAATAAATATTTTAAAGTTACATATAAAGAGATTTTACCCAGGTAATTGATTATAGATAAAGTACAATGTATGTTATGCTATACACATTAACAAATAACATTAAATGACGACAATATGTTTGTGAATTTTTAACAAATTAATTCAAATTATTAAATAAACAAGTAGAAAAATTTTTACAGCAAATCTTTGAAATGCTTCTTGGTGTTTCGTCAATTATATTAAATATTATGGATAAAAATTAACGGAAAATTAAATTAAAGTTTAGTTAAACATTTACAGAAAACGTCTGTAACATACAAATAATTTTATATAAAATACACAAGCAGAAATATTTATATATTGCAGAAAATACTTGACGTTTCTCCTCGCTTCATTGATTTTATCAAATATTATTTTATCATATTTAATAATTAATTTGTATCATGACATTCATGACTTAATTCATTAACATTCTATTTACAATTTGAAAATTAATTTATTTAAATTAAAAATACTGTCAATAAAATTCTTAGGTTAAAAGAAAGAAAGAAAAAAAAGACAACATTTAATGTATTTACGCATATACATTTTGAAATTTTTATCGGTAATTATTTTTAAATTAAACATTTCTTTTTACAGGATAAATTCCGCACGACAGATTATGTGTTTTATACATCAAATTTGAATCAATTTTACAGAATTTTATTAAAAAGAAAAAAAAGAAAAAGTAATTTATGTGAATTTAAATGAAAAATTATATTTGTCATTTGAATTGACAATTAAATATTAATATCCGGAGATCAATGAAATGAGTTTGCAAATATCAATACTTAAATTCAGTTAATTTTTTTCTTTATTTTTCTTTTCGTTGCTGTTCATCTTTCGGAATAAATTTATTTATTTATTTTTTTCATAAATGCAGCAGATTATTTTTATTTTCATTAAAATGAGGACTTAATATATTTTGTTTTCTAAATAAATTTATTATTATTATTATCATGTTTTTTTTAAATGTTTATAAGGAAATTGTCTGGTAGAAAATTGATTTTTGTTGCAGATCTTTTATCTAATTAAGTGACAGAAATGTAATATATAAATATATTTTTTCCTCTTCAAAAATAAATAAAATTATTTCATTAAATTAGATTAAAATCACTTTAGAGAATTGTTACTTATTAATTATTTTAATAGTTACATTTTTCTCATTTTTTAATATTGTAATTCTTTGTTTCCATTTATTAAAAATGATTTCTTAATTTCATTTAATTTAAATTCAGAATTATTGTCCGAATAAATTATTAAGAAAGTGTTTCGATGATGTAATGTTGTTTAAATAGCAAATAATGTTGTTTATTTTGATGTGCTCTTTTGTAATTCTGTCCGAACAATTACAGCGACAAAAAAGTTAATTGTTGAACTTATAAAGTTAAGTTTATTATTTAAATTTTGTTCATAAATATTAATTATTTACAGACTATTTATTGTGCTTGAAATTAAGCCAATTCAATTATTCGGATGCATATTATCGACCTTGCTCTAAAACCGGTCCGTTCTGCAATTGGTGACTGCAGTTCACTTAACAATAGGAAGTATGAATTAATATCAAGCATTCTGAATGCATAATTAGTTTTTATTTATATAATTTATTGGCATTCGTGCATTGTGTTATTTTATGACAACTAATTGATTGAACAGTACAAACTTGTTTAAATTAAATTGCATTGAATGCCTGTTAAAATATTAGAAATTAATTCAATTTTTATTAAGTGTGATAAATTATTTATTTATTTAAAAATCTTGCAAACCAGTTTAAACTTTACATTAGTTATTTTATATATATGATTTTCACCAATTTAATGATAACTATTAAAATGGAACAATGTAATTTTAATATCTTTAATTTATAAATTAAAGCGATTCAAAATGAATTACATTTTTATATTTTTATCCAGTATAACAAAAATAGAAATGACCCGGCGTTAAAAATAACTTTAATCAGCAAAATTAAATTTCTAATGAATTCCAATTTAAACGACCGGTTAATCAGAAATTTTCATTTATCCTTTATTGTCCATTAAGGTGGAATGTAGTTAAGTGCATTTACTATTTTCTGCGCGAAACCTAATACACTTAACTTTGCGCCAGATAAGGGAGAAAAAAAAATAGAAAACTGTATTTTTAACATATTTCTGTAGTATTTTTATGTTTAGCAAGAATTGGAATGGCATTCTCTTCCAAGGTTAACACATATCCAATATCTATCTATCACAATAGGAATGGAGATTGATTTGTTATTCAATATACCATCTGTCACAAATACACTATCGTACACTAAACAACAATTCTTATAGCAATGCTTATTTTATGATGAATTTTATGCCATTTATCATTTCATTCTTATGAATGACAAAAAAATGTATTGGATATTTTTTCCCTCCTCCTTCCTTCTCCTCCTCCTCCTTTTAATGTAATTTTTAAAGTATTGAATATTATGCGAAGACATAAAAATGATTGAACGGAATACTAAATTCGCAATATAATGCGAATAGATGTATATAAATATATCAAAATATTGGGAGGAAGATTTAAATTTTTATATTGTTTTTGTTTTTATTGTTATTATTTATTTATTTATTTTTAATGTAATTCATAATATTGTTTAAGACTTTATCTATTATTACTGTGTGGTTTGAATTTCTCTAAAAGAAAGATTTTTATTTATTATTTATGATTAATATTTTTATATTTATACATAAAACATTGAATATTGCATGAAGGCTTGTTTATATCTTGATTTAGTGAAAATTTTATGCAATTTTAAGTGATTTTTGTATGTTTTTATTTTTATTTCTAGCTCTTCTGTTATTAAATTTGACTTTTATAATTTATTTGTGTATTTTAATTATCTTTCTTTATAGAAATTACTTTGTTACTTGTTTGTATATTTGCTGTACTTCTTCAGTTCTACAGTTTATTGTTAAATATAGTAATTTTATTTTTAATAAATTGATTTTTATATTTTTAGCTTTGACCTTGTTTTATGTTTTGCCAATTTAAATTGTCTTTAAGTTTGTTTTCTGTTTGAAACTTGTAAAGATAATGAAGAGACATACTGGAAATTACCTCTGGATATTTGTACAATGTTTGTTAATTCTCTTTGACAGTTCTGAATTAAAATAATTAACATTTATTTTAGCTTTTCTAGCTTACTAGCAAACAGTAGTAGAGCTAGTTTCTTTATTAGAGATTCACCACTTGCAAATTTATGATAAATAAATTAATTCTGTAGATATTCAGATATGAAATAAGAATGTACAATGTTGATATTGTAATAGGGAGAAGCAAAAATCTTAATTAAATGCCAAAAGTATATTTCTTTTATTGATTATAATCCAGAATTATTTGTTGATATGTATATTATTCATGCCATTTGCAAATCTATAATTATATAATTAATCATTTATTAACCACATGGCTGTGCAGTCACTTGTTCGCCTGTCATTATGGAAATCTAAATTCAAACCTTGTCCAAACCATCATAATTTATTATAGTGTAGGTGTGGCATTGTACCGTACCTTGTACACTGCTGGTGTTGACTCATTCTGTTCAATGTTAATGACTATAATTGTAACTTTATTTTCAATTATTTGCATCTTGTTATCACATTATGAATAATTATAACTGTTAAGTAAATATTAATATTTACTTAATATTATTAGTATTAAGTAAATATTAATATTTACTTAATATTANATATTATTTATTTATTTATTTTTGTAGAGAATTATATTCTATTCAATTAAAATCTTAAGAAAAATAATTTATTATTTAATTGTGTTAACTTTAATGCGAAATTCTTCGTTGTTTGTACATTACAATGTTTCAAATTCCACATTTTCTTGGGACGAATGGTTCAGAAGCTTATGTTTAGCTTACGTTATTGTAAGTGGAGTGTTTACCTGAATATGAATATAAATATTCCTCAACTCTACAACTGATGAATTGTTTATGAGCTTTATGATTTTATCTGCAAGTTATTTGCTTATTTAAGAAATTCTATAGAAGAATATCCTTATTTATAAAAAAAAAAAAAAAAGTAAAGAGATTGTATTTTGAAAACATTATTAAATAAGTCTTTTTTTTTATTCTTTCTTTTTTAAATTTTTATTTTTCGTATATTTTTTGTTTTTTTTTTTTCTTTCATTTTCCATCTTAAAATCCAGGGGGCGCTAGTCGCATCCCTCCCTCCTCATCCGAAATCAATGGCGATGGATACGTTGACCGTTAAGGCCGACTACATAGCGCGACTACAAAGGTAATTTATATCCTGTCATTCCAACCATCTATTGATTTTCTTATTACGTGGTACACTGGGTATTCAAAATTGCAAGAATCAACTTAATACGTTTAGTTTTTGTCGAGTAAAATGTCCGATGAACTAAGACTACTGTTAGTCTTAACGACAACATGGAGGAAAAAGATCGTCTGCGTTTACCACAAATCTCTTTTATTTTATGCGTATTTTTGCAACGAATTATTTAATTGGTCGATGATTATATTACGTAACGATATTTTGAAAATTTGAATTTCGAAATATGTCTATTACCATGTATTATTATTATTATTATTATTATTATTTGGTTATTATTTTTTTAAATCTTTCAATAAATAAATTTATGTTTTTTTTTTATTTGCTCACATAAAAAATAAAATAATAATAAAAGAATTTATATCTTCCACAACTTTTTATTATTATTATTTTTTTTTATATTAAATTCCTTTACATTCATCCCTTTAAATATATATACACATACACATACAAATATACAAATTTCTGCTGTATTAAGTCCATGTTTTCATAAATACATCAAATGTTCGGTATGAATTGATAAAAAGCCATGCTTTTTTATCATTTGTACAATGTTCAATTTGCCTTTAATAAATCCCTGTGCACACACCGTTTGTATGCAGTGTGTAAAATTTTCATCTGCGAGTCTTGCAATGCAGATCTTGTCGTTTCGTCTCTTAACTCTTCCTATTACTGTTTTTTTAAGAGAAAATAAATAAAAAGAGTAATGCGATGTGTCTGTCTCCCTTTTTTTTCTCTCTTCCGTTCAAGAATAAATGCATAAAAATTGAAGGTATTAAAAATTTAAATGCTTAATAAATAAATGGTAAAATTTGATTTTTCTCATTATCTTTTATTTGTATTGACATTCCATATCCATACTCCACTGCGAGTATGAATTGCAAAATTTGAAGAAAATTATAATAATCTGATCAATTTTTAATCAAAAAAGGTGTATAAATGAAAGATGATGATGATAAAATTGCCAATTTATTAAGCTTGATAAAAGTATTTTAATACGGTTTCATTTGCTTGATTTTTACATATATATGGAAATTTAGGAATAATTTATGTTGAAACTGCAAAAATTTATTTATTTTAAATCATATAAAAAAAATATACAGTTTATTAAAATAAATTTAATTGGAAATAGTGTAATTCTCGTCCTCTTAAGTAATTTTTGTATGCTTTATTTGCATATTTTTGATGTGTAGATTGGATATTTAAAGCAAAATTATATGAAAAATGAAAAATTAAAATCTCGAAATTATTGTTATTAACGGTAATAAATGTCATAATTATATTTGTAATAAAATAATAAATTATCGGCAGAATTATGTCGTTAGAATCAATTTACAACGTGCCAATTATGTAAAAATTTATTGCTAATGTCCTGATATTATTTTGTTACATAATAATGTTTAAAATTACTTTCATAAGCTAATTTTAATGTAATAATTTTGCTTTTTTTCTTTTGCTGCTGTTATTAATATATTAAGGAAGAAAAGTCAATTCTGTAGTTGCTTTTTTGAATAATAAAGATATAAAAATTATTTAAATTTTTAAAATTAATTTATTCGGTTAAATGTTGTTATTAGGAAGATTATTTGTAAAAAAAAATATATATTTATTTATCTTTTTATTAAAATTAAATTTCATGGACCATAATTTATTTATTTAAGAAATTTAATAATGTTTAATGTGCGAAATGAAAGGAAATGTATTCAAATTTATTGCTTTAAAAAAATGAAAAGAAAAGAAAAAAAAATTTCTATTTATTTTCATAATTTTCAATTAATTTAATGTAATATTTGATAGGAGAATTTTATTTTTTTAAATGTTATATAAATTATATAATCCATATATTTATACACTAACTCACATTTTAAATATTTAGTAATATTTTAAAAAATAATAATAAAAAAAAATGCAGCCACTTTCAAAATGCATTCAATATTTACGCTGTATAAATATTTTCTATTTATTTATTTGCCAAATTCATAGAAAATAGCAAGGAAAACATTCTTTTCAATTTGTATAGGTTGAAGATCTTTGCATGTTAATATTATTTCTTTATTTATTTTTGTAGAGAATTATATTCTATTCAATTAAAATCTTAAGAAAAATAATTTATTATTTAATTGTGTTAACTTTAATGCGAAATTCTTCGTTGTTTGTACATTACAATGTTTCAAATTCCACATTTTCTTGGGACGAATGGTTCAGAAGCTTATGTTTAGCTTACGTTATTGTAAGTGGAGTGTTTACCTGAATATGAATATAAATATTCCTCAACTCTACAACTGATGAATTGTTTATGAGCTTTATGATTTTATCTGCAAGTTATTTGCTTATTTAAGAAATTCTATAGAAGAATATCCTTATTTATAAAAAAAAAAAAAAAAGTAAAGAGATTGTATTTTGAAAACATTATTAAATAAAATTGTATATTTTATGTCTTTTTCGTTTTTTTTTTTTTTTACTATATTTTGTATACTTCAATGATAAAATACTGTAGGGAAAAAAATCGCATATTTCGTAACATGATACATTTGATTTGAAATCATTTATTCAAATTCTAACTATTTAAATATGTAGGAGATAAATGTATTTAATATATTCTATATTTACTATAACATTTCAAAATAATGTAGAATTAATTATGTTTGATATTGCTGTTTGATGAGAATGTTGACCTGTCTTGCTGGAATTTAATCATACTTTTTATATAAAAATAATCTTTTGTTAATGAAAATATTATTTAAATTGAAAGAAACAGAAATTTCGTATAGAAATGTTGTATCATTTGTGCATTAATTACAGTTTTTTTTTTTTTTTTTTGCTGTTTATATGCATACTGATTCATGTTTTGATATAAATATGTAAGTAGTTGAGATGATAGATTAAAATTATATTTTTTTTAACCAAGAAAAAAAGATGAATATATTACAGTTTAGTTAGTTAATTAGCCATGAGCATCTTTCCAAAAGAAAAAAATGTAAAATAATTGTTAAATTATAGTCTCGAAAGAGATTTATAACTGAATTTTTTTCTCTAATGTCCATTAGGATATATTTCATTTTAATTGTTTTAAATGTTGTCTGGCTTGTTAATGTAATGAGGGGTTGAGCTAAAAGGCTTTATTCAAATGATGATTGGCATATTAATGAAAAATAAATATTTTAAAGTTACATATAAAGAGATTTTACCCAGGTAATTGATTATAGATAAAGTACAATGTATGTTATGCTATACACATTAACAAATAACATTAAATGACGACAATATGTTTGTGAATTTTTAACAAATTAATTCAAATTATTAAATAAACAAGTAGAAAAATTTTTACAGCAAATCTTTGAAATGCTTCTTGGTGTTTCGTCAATTATATTAAATATTATGGATAAAAATTAACGGAAAATTAAATTAAAGTTTAGTTAAACATTTACAGAAAACGTCTGTAACATACAAATAATTTTATATAAAATACACAAGCAGAAATATTTATATATTGCAGAAAATACTTGACGTTTCTCCTCGCTTCATTGATTTTATCAAATATTATTTTATCATATTTAATAATTAATTTGTATCATGACATTCATGACTTAATTCATTAACATTCTATTTACAATTTGAAAATTAATTTATTTAAATTAAAAATACTGTCAATAAAATTCTTAGGTTAAAAGAAAGAAAGAAAAAAAAGACAACATTTAATGTATTTACGCATATACATTTTGAAATTTTTATCGGTAATTATTTTTAAATTAAACATTTCTTTTTACAGGATAAATTCCGCACGACAGATTATGTGTTTTATACATCAAATTTGAATCAATTTTACAGAATTTTATTAAAAAGAAAAAAAAGAAAAAGTAATTTATGTGAATTTAAATGAAAAATTATATTTGTCATTTGAATTGACAATTAAATATTAATATCCGGAGATCAATGAAATGAGTTTGCAAATATCAATACTTAAATTCAGTTAATTTTTTTCTTTATTTTTCTTTTCGTTGCTGTTCATCTTTCGGAATAAATTTATTTATTTATTTTTTTCATAAATGCAGCAGATTATTTTTATTTTCATTAAAATGAGGACTTAATATATTTTGTTTTCTAAATAAATTTATTATTATTATTATCATGTTTTTTTTAAATGTTTATAAGGAAATTGTCTGGTAGAAAATTGATTTTTGTTGCAGATCTTTTATCTAATTAAGTGACAGAAATGTAATATATAAATATATTTTTTCCTCTTCAAAAATAAATAAAATTATTTCATTAAATTAGATTAAAATCACTTTAGAGAATTGTTACTTATTAATTATTTTAATAGTTACATTTTTCTCATTTTTTAATATTGTAATTCTTTGTTTCCATTTATTAAAAATGATTTCTTAATTTCATTTAATTTAAATTCAGAATTATTGTCCGAATAAATTATTAAGAAAGTGTTTCGATGATGTAATGTTGTTTAAATAGCAAATAATGTTGTTTATTTTGATGTGCTCTTTTGTAATTCTGTCCGAACAATTACAGCGACAAAAAAGTTAATTGTTGAACTTATAAAGTTAAGTTTATTATTTAAATTTTGTTCATAAATATTAATTATTTACAGACTATTTATTGTGCTTGAAATTAAGCCAATTCAATTATTCGGATGCATATTATCGACCTTGCTCTAAAACCGGTCCGTTCTGCAATTGGTGACTGCAGTTCACTTAACAATAGGAAGTATGAATTAATATCAAGCATTCTGAATGCATAATTAGTTTTTATTTATATAATTTATTGGCATTCGTGCATTGTGTTATTTTATGACAACTAATTGATTGAACAGTACAAACTTGTTTAAATTAAATTGCATTGAATGCCTGTTAAAATATTAGAAATTAATTCAATTTTTATTAAGTGTGATAAATTATTTATTTATTTAAAAATCTTGCAAACCAGTTTAAACT